TAATCCCATGCCTTGGGAGGCTGAGGTGAGTGGATTGCCTGAGCCTGAGGGTTCGAGACCCGCCTGGGCAACTTGGCAAGAACTCATCTCTACAATAAATTTTAAAAATTAGACAGGCATGGTAGTGCGTGCCTGTAGTTCCAGCTACTTGGAAGGCTGAGGCGGAAGGATCACCAGAGCCCAGCAGGTCGAGGCTGTGGTGGCCAGAAGCGGCCACTACACTCCAGTCTGGTTGACAGAGTGACTCCAACTCAAAAAAAAAAACAGTTACAGTACCAACTAAAGCAGTGATTTAAATATTCTTGATGTCCTAATCTTGATTTGTACCCCACATCTTTAAAAGAATAAAAAAGAAATTTAAAAATAAATAAATAAATAAATATTCTTGGTGGCACTTATTAGAAGGATATGCAGTGAGATGAATAGCCATCTTCTTGGTCATTATTTGAATTGCATAACTGCTGTCTGATATTTTCCCATCTTTACCTGATATAACAATGTACACACTTAAAACCACCAAATCAAGTCTACATGCTCATCTACTAGAAAGTTATCTTTTGGTTACTATAAAGATGCTAAAAATGACCTCTGGTTTTCCAACTGAATGAGGATACGGTATTGCCAAAGCCCATACTAACCTGGGGCAAGCACATTTTCTAGTTCCTTAGGAAACAAGGTCAGTGCTCAGTAACAGGATGTGACGGAGAGGTCAGTATGATTAGTGTGATTGTTTAATTAGAGAACATTTGTATAAAGAGATTTTTTTATAACTTTAAAGTGTACCATTAAATAGAACCAACTGCTAAACGTCCCCCCAAGTACCAGTGACAAATAAAATGGATTATTATTACAAACATCATTTGCATAGTGAAAGAACTCCTACAAAGTTCTTGGAGCAGTCTGAACATATGGACCTTACTTTCAGGGACACTGCAGTGTTTTTTTCAATCCAAAAACAAATTCTGAACTCATGTGTCCCTTATGGCTTTCCTGAACTAAGAGTGAGTGGCTAAGAGAAATGGAGACCTGAAGTTCTGACACTGTGGTCGCAGCCTATGTCCAGCATGCTACAACCACTCCTCAGACACTCCCTTATCAGATACCAGTGACTGAAAAAGGAAAGCCGAGTTTTGGATGGCTGAGGATTTGGCCCAGTTAGATCACTGCAGAGCAAGATGATGAGAATGATCATCCTGTCTTTGTAGACATGACTATCAATAGCTACATATAAAGTATGCATATCTTCTCCAGTAGATACTTTGAGCAGTTGAAGCCTTTCTATTGGAAAGTCAAAAAGGAAAAGAAGTGCTCTAGCAGAGGTAGGAAAGAGGCACAGGGTGGGGTGGGAAATGGGCAAACAGAGCCTCAGCTACTGGACAACCCCCTCTCATACATCCCTTAGGGAACCCTAAGGCTATCTGAAATATGGGCCAAAATGGCAATTTGTGAAGAAGGCATGGAGAGGAGTCATGAAATGTATTAATAATTCTCCAAGATCCTTTGGAGAAGAGAAAATGCTTCCACAGGTGTTCAGTGAAGCACAGTGAACAAATGACCACAGTGATTTTTGCTAGTAGCAAACTTCAGCCATTTCCAAGAACAAAATTTGAAAGTGACCTATCAGTTTCCACATCTTCCCCACCTGCAGAAGCACACCCACATTGAATGAATTAAAGTGCTAAACTCAGTAGAGCTCTCAAACGTCTCCAAAATCTGTAAGGTAGGGCCTTTGGGGGTACAGACTAAACATCTTCTTGCTGTCCCATCTCAGACGCAAGTGTCACTTTTTTTTTTTTTTTCACTTTTTGCCAAACTCCCACCCACTTGGCAATTCAGGTAGTTCCAAGACTCTGCCAGAAAATGACCTGCTCCAAGTTCAGAAAAAGAATTTCTGTGGAGTAAATTTGTTCTCATAAAAAAAATTAAGAATTATCTAAGATGCAAATTTTAAAAAGACAAAAGCAATTATGGGTGAAGAGGTATTTGGAAAATATGGTGGAAAGAGTAGCTTTTAATATTTGGGCTTAAATTTACCAGTTTCATAAAGCAAAGCGTGGACTTTTCAAAATAAAGTCACCATCAAAAAATTTGGATTAAATTAGAAATTTTCAACAAGTGTCAAGGTCAACAATGACTACTACATTAAGAAATCATGTCAGAGAGACAGAATCCTGATATTTTCACTGTAATAGTCTCAAATTATAATTAGAAAGCATTCTCTAGCTTGCTGGTGAGACGACATCAGGCTCTGAGACCCCTAGTATTACATAACTGGGAATACAGGACAAGAGTTGCATATGCTTCTCCACGGGCATGTGTATATTTGCAAAAGAAGGTGAAAATCAAAACTTCTCTTTTAAACTCTCAACACAAACAAGATGTCATATTTTACCCATCTGTTCTCAAATAGCTTAAAAGACAATTAATATTCATTACTGAAAAGGATATAGTAATCCAGCACTCTCAGATGTGTTCAGAAGGAGTGTAATTAACAAAAAGTATTTTTGGAAATCAATTTGGCAGCTTCCAACAAAGTGCACATATCTTTTGCCCAAGCAAACCCTTCTTCCAGGAAAGTAGCCTGCAAAAAATCTTGTACACATGCACAAATATATATACACCA